ATTTTTTTTAAAAAAAAAAAGAAAAGAAAAGGATCAAGCACATACAGCAGCAGGGAAGGGCTGAGTGTGGGGTTTGGGATGGAATGATACACTGAGGTGGGAGCACACTGGCCTGGAACTCTAGGAGAAGGTGTTTGGACTTTACTCTGCAACTGGTGTGGCACCTGGGACGATTTTAAAAGGTGAGAGATGGGATCAGATCTGCAACCCACATGGCTGTCTCAGCAGGGACTGCAGGCAAAGATACACTGGGGGCAGCTTGTGATGACTTATGCAATTGCTGACAGCACTCCAAAGAGCTATTAATCCTTTCCAGTATAAACTTTCCTATTTATAAATACCGACAAATATTTGATTTGCCAAACCTCCTCAGTCATCTGAGGAGATTAAGCGGTCTCAAGAAGGGAACTAGCAGATCAATCAGAGCAAATGGTTTGTATTAAAAAGAATTATTGCAGAAAACAGGAGCTAACTTTTCAAAAGTTCAAATTTGTATTTTGGTGAAATGTCAGAGGGCAAAAGAAGCATGACCTGGAATTTGAGGAGAACAAGAAACAATTCTTGAAAATAAAATATGTGATTTTACGCATCTCAAAATAAAATGGAATTGTAGCATATATTTTTGCAAAAACTGATTTAGTGAGTTATCAGGTAAACTCATAAGAATTAATATGATCTTCTCAGAACACAGACCAAATAATAGATTCATGAGATAAAAAAAAGAGGGTGGTATATATAATGTCCTGATATTTATATATAACAGGAGCCATGGAATAGGAAAAAAGAATGAATGTAAGCAAACAATTAAAAATAATAATGAAAGAAAATTTCCTAAGCTGAAAGAGTATTACCTATTGATTATAAATAATCCTGGGCAGAATTTTTGTAAAAAAAAATCCAACCCAGGGCATAAAGGTAAGATTTCTGCATTTCAAATGATGATAGAATTCTATAAGGAGATTCAGACTAGCACTAGAGTTCTCATTTGCAATATTATAAATTAGAAGATAATGTATAAATAATCTTATAGATTTAGAATTATAATAATAAAATTTTGCAGCCGACCAGACTGAGAACAAAAGAGAAATGTCAAGACTCCGACTATAGTATCAGGTACACTTTCTGAGAAACAAAATTTGTGAAATAATTATAACCAAATAAAAATGAGCAGAGAATTAATATCTCAGAGAGTAGAGGGCATTGCAATATCTTAGAAATCTCATAAGAAATAATTCAGGATAATGTATAGCTATGTCTAATCAATGTTTCCTAAGGTATATATATAAAAGGCTAAGCGACCAGCCAACCCGCCAATCGGCTGGTAGGTATGACACACACTGACCACCAGGGGGCAGATGCTCAATGCAGGAGCTGCCGAGCTGTGGTGACTTGGCAGCAGCGGTTTTTGGGTGACAGCACCTCAGAACCAGAGAGGAGGGAGCCCAATTCCGGGGTGAATTACCTGA